CAACTATCAATTGTTGTAAAAACAATCTGGTTCACTAATATCCTTAAGGAGGGAAATCTGCCTTCCTCACCTGGTCTGGCCTACACGTGACTCCAGACTCACAGCAATGTGGTTGTCTCTTAACCACCTTCTGAAATGGCGCCAGAGAGTCCCACAATTTCAGCAAACAGCTAGAGAGAAAACGCTAATAATAACACTTTAAATAGCACTTTACTGCGTGTGAAACAGTTTCAGCTGCCATTAATAAACATCTCAAAGGAATACCAATAGGAATCAAATTCTGAGCAGTTCTCTAGCCTCTGTGAATTGGATTCAAATGTAAATACTGAAGGGTTTGGACAGAGTGGACAGGGAAGAGCTATTTCCTCCAGCAAAGGGGTCACTTAGACTCAGACTGGATCACATCTGTTCGACAATATCTTCCCAAGCATGGATTCCTTGCAAAAACAGAAATTGCTGGAAAAGCTCAGCAGGTCTGGCAGCATCTTTTAATCACAGAATCCCTGCAATGTGGAAATAGGCCATTTGGTCCAACAAGTCCACACTGACCCTCCAAAGAGCATCCCACCCAGACCCATCTCCCTACCCTTTCCCTGTAACCCTATATTTCCCATAGCTAACATATCTAACCTATATATCCCTGACCGCAATGGGCAATTTAGCTTAGCCAATCCACCTAATCTGCACATCTTTAGACTGTGGGAGGAAACCGGAGCACCCAGAGGAAAGCCACGCGGATACAGGGAGAATGTGCAAACTCCACACAGACAGTCGCCTGAGGGTGGACTTGAACCCGGGTCCCTGGTGCCGTGAGGCTGCGGTCTGTGGAGAGAAATCAGAGTCAACGTTTTAGTTCGAGTAACCCTTCCTCTGATTTCGCTTCACAGATGCTGCCAGACCTGCTGACCGTTTCCAGCAATTTCTGTTTTAGTTTGTGATTTACTGCATCCGCAGTTCTTTTGGTTTTTATTAAGGATTCCGTGCGTCTGGTTCTGGGGTTATTCCACCACAGTGGCCTCATCCAAGTCCCCAACCAACACGAGTCACTGAACAGCAGAGTCTCAGTCTAATTCCTTTCCTTCCGAACCCAAGGCCTTTGGAAACATGCCACAGGCGACTTGTGCTACTGTTACACACACCCAGCTTTGAATGCAAACTTTCCTGGTGTGTTTGCCTGGGCTCCACGAGGCTCCCTGCTCTGAGACTCTAGGGAGAGTCACAGAAATCAACATTACAGAGAGCAACATTTTAGTATTTTAGCCAATGGCAATGTAGTGAGGAGTCTCAGGGAAGATGTACTGTGTTAGCTGTGATCGATTAGGTGATGGAATTATTGATGTTGTTTCAGATTCTGCTGTAGTTCTGAAAAAACAGGCAACAGCCTCTGTACTGAGCCTTTAATGTGAGCAAGAAGAAATTAATTGCCACTGACATAAGTGGTTTCATCATTCACACATGCGCAATTTCATAATTGGAAAAATAGACAAATCCTTACTTATAAATAGAATCATAGACACACACATGCACACCAAGTAAACACTCACACACACAATTGCCAACATACAGATGAGCACAAAAGCACACAGACAGGTACACGTTTGCAAACTCACACTCAAATGTACAGATACACACTGTCACAACATCACAGACGCAGATACATGGGATGTTTTCCTCTGAGCTACTCACCATCCTGATTTGGAAATATATCACCGTCCCTTCAGTGTCGCTGGATCAAAATCCTGGAACTCCCCCCCCACCCAAGGGCACTGTCCCAGCAGCACACAGGCTGCAGCGTCAGCTAACCCCCACATTCTCAAGGGGCAATTAAGAATGGGCAATAAATGCTGGTCCAGCCAGCAACACCCACATCCCGTAAGTATGTAGTGGGAGGAAACGTAGCGTTGATATGGTGACACCACAGTCCAGAGCTGGAGGAACACAGCAGGCCAGGCAGCATCAGAGGAGCAGGAAAGTTGGTGAGGGTGAGGCTGGGGGAGGCAGTTGTGCAATGAGGTCTGGTTGTCCTTGTACACCAAGAGTAAAGGGCTTTTATAGTGAGAGGGTTTGAGCACAGGAGCAGGGATATCTTGCTGCAATTATACAGGGCCTTGGTGAGAACACACCTGGAGTATTGTGTACAGTTTTGGTCTCCTTATCTGAGGAAGGATGTTCTGGTGATAGAGGGATTGCAGCGAAGGTTTCCCAGACTGAGTTCTGCGAAGGCAGTACAGACATATGAGGAGAGGTTGAGTTGGTTAGGATTGCATTCGCTGGAGTTTAGAAGAATGAGGGGGAATCTCATAGAAAGCTATAAAATTCCAAGAGGAATAGGCAGTGCAGATGTAGGAAGGATGTTCCTAATGATCAGGGAGTCCAGGACCACAGTCACAGTCCAAGGATGCTGAGTAGGCCAATTGGGACTAAGATGAGGAGAAATTTCTTCACCTAGAGAGTGGTGAGCCTATGGAATTCTCTATAACAGAAAGCAGATGAGGCCAAAACAACAAATGATTTCCAGAAGTAGATAGATATAGTTCTTAGGGCTAAAGGGACCTAAGGTTATGGTGAAAACTAGGGACAGGGGACTGAGTCAGATGATCAGTCATGATTGATATTGAATGGTGGATCAGGCTTGAAAGGCCAAATAGCCTACTGCTGCTCCTATTTTCTATGTTTCTATGAAATGTCATGCCAATGAGAACTGAAGCAGGAGTAGATCATTCTGCCCCTCAAGCCTGCTACACCATTCAGTAAGATGGTGGCTGACTATCTACTTTGATTCATTTTCCTGCACCAGCACCGTATCAATTTCCATAGCATCTAAAACCTGTAATCTCTGACTTATCAGCTAAACCTCCCTCACTCTTTGAGGTTGGCAGCTCCAAAGATTCTCAACACAGAGGACTCACCTCAGTCTTAAATGGTTGACCCTTAATGCTGTGATCCTGGATGGGGATGGGATTGGGAAATAAATGTTGGCCATGTCCAGTGACACTCATACCCAATGATGGAAGAACTTTTAGCAATTCTCCTCAATGGTCAATCTCATCAAACTAATAAATCTGTTTTTATTTATCCATTGATGGGACATGATAGACCAACCTTCATTGACCATCTGTTATTGCCCTGGCAAAGATGGTCATGAGGTGCCTTCTTGAACTGCTACAGGTCATGTCGAGTAGGGACACCCACACAGTGCTGTTAGGGAAGGAGTTCCAGGGTTTTGACCCAGCAACAGTGATGGGACAGCAGTATCTTTCCAAGTCAGGATGGTGTGTGTCTCAGAGGTGCCATCTACAGGGTACTGTCTGAGGATCTTTGGTGAATTTCTACAGTGCGTCTTGTAGATGGTGCACACTTCTGCATTGGTGCTCAAGGGAGTGACTGTTGAAATTAGTAGAAATGGCGCCAATCAAGTGGGGGTTGCTTTGTCCTGGATTGCGTCAAGCTTCTTGAGTGTTGTTGGAGTTACACGCATTCAGGCAAGTGGGGAGTATCCATTGCACTCCATCACTGACTTGTGCCTTGTAGATGGTGGACAGAATTTGGAGTCAGCAGATGAGGTTACTTGCTACAGTATTCCTAGACTCTGACCTAGTCTTGCAGCCACAATATTTATGCAACCAGTCCAGTTCAATTTCTAATAAATGGTAACCCCTAGGACGTTGATAGTGGGGGATTTAAGTGATGGTAATGCTATTAAACATCAACGGGCAATAAGTTAAATTCTCTCTTATTGGAGATGCTCATTTCTTGGCACTTGTGCTGCGTAAATGTTACTTGCCAATCGTCACTCCAAGCCTGGATATTGTCCAGGCCTTGCTGTATTTGAACATGGACTGCTTCAGTATCTGTGTAGTCGCAAATGGTACTGATCATTGTGCAATCATCAGTAAACATCCCCGCTCTGACCTTATGATGGAAGGAAGATCATTGATGAAGCATCTAAAGATGGTTGGGCCTTGGACACTACTCTGAGGAACTGGGCTATTGTGGCACAGTGGAAATGTCCCTAGCTCTGAGCTGGAAGGCTTGGGTTCAAATGCTACCTGCTGTCTATTCAGAACTCCTGCAGAGATGACCTGAAGCTGAGATGATTGATTAGCTAGTATGTAAAGACTGAGATCAACGGGTTAAGGGGGGGGAAGAGAGAGACTTTAAAAAAACAGAAGACTTGAATTCACAATGTCTGAATCTGCGAGTGCTTCAGCTCAACATTTCTTTGAGCTGCGTGGAACTAATAGATGTCTCATTAGGATTGTAGAACATTGTATGTTCTCATTTAGGAGTGTTAGGGGAAACTAGAAGAACTTTTTTTCATATTCAAGGACTGTAGATTATGGACTGTTTTGGCACATGAAGTCATAGAGCTGTACAGCATGGAAACAGACCATTCGGTCCAACACGTCCATGCCAACCAGATATCCTACATTAATCTAGTCCCATTTGTCTGTATTTGGCCCATATCCCTCTAAACCCTTCCTAGTCATATACCCATCCAGATGCCTCTTAAATGTTGTAATTGTACCAGCCTCCACCACTTCCTCTGGCAGCTCATTCCAAACATGCACCACCCTCTGCGTGAAAAAGTTGCCCCTTAGGTCCCTTCTAAACCTTTCCCCTCTCACCTTAAACCTATGCCCTCTAGTTTTGGACTCCCCTACCCTGGGGAAAAGACCTTGGCTGATCACCCTATCCACGCCTTTCATGATTTTATAAACCTCTATAAGGTCATATAAGGTCAATTCAATTATACCACTTTAGGAGGAGTCAGGTAAACAGTTAAAAAGAACTACAGGGAAAAAGACTGGTGTAGAAGACTGTACAGTCAAGTGGTTGAATGGCCACCCAGACTGAATGTCCCTTTCAGGACGTCCCAGTTGTAGATGAAACTTTATGAACGCATTTCTCGGAGTAAATCCTCCAATCATGATAGGATCATTCCCAAACCTACATTACTTAGATAACACCCACTTCAGCAAAAATAATCAAAACACAAATTTAAATTGATCAAAGTGGAATATTGGATTTTGATCACTTTCAGATGCTTTATTAAAAGTATAACACTCTATAATATCACACTCTAAATATAAACCTTCAAATCTACAATCAAATCTTGGTTGCCTTCCCATTTTCTTAACAGAAAGTTCCAGTGATGAAGACCATGAGTCGATGGTTGTCATTCGCCTTTTATTGTCCATTTGACCTTTGACATCTTTTGGCGATTTGGCCCATTTTCCTAAAAAAAATCAAAAGGGGCAGTGAATCCTGAAAGGTCAATGCCAGAATCTAGTGGAACCCAGCAACGCATCGGAGGCTTTAAAAGAATGGGTTTGAAGATTTGGGAATTAACTTCAAGACACGTTTGGGATTGTTGCTTTTGGGAGGAAGCACGGAATTTTGTCCCATCAATTCAGCAGCAAGAGACACAGTGGTTGGGAACCCCCAAACTGCAGTTGGAGTGGGGAGGGTACAGGAAAATCAGAGGTGGGAAGGGCTTATTCACCTGCTCACTAATTGTCGATTAGGCTCCTATCACTGGAAGCCAACTCTCCTCTAGTTTCACCGGAATCAGGGACTCAATGGGATTCCTGTCTCCTGTTCCCCCAGCAGGTGGCAAACAAGCCCATCTCTCTGCACCTCTCTCACCTGCCCCACCCCCCGCACCCCCGCCAAAGGTCCTAGATCCAAAGGGGCAGCCCCACTCAGGCCAATCATTGACCCTTCCCCCTACAGAAGCGAACCCAATTCCCATCAGTTCTACAACACATAGGTAAGGTTCCTGTCACCCGCATTCATTTGAGGCCATTGTGTGGGAGTTACACCAATGGGCTGGGGACCAGAAATAGCTGAGGCTGCTCTGTGATGGAAGGCACGCTCCATGACATCTTGAAACTTACAGATCTTTCTTTCTGTCCACCAAACCGGTTCATTTTGTCTGCCCCAATTTCTTCTTCCCTTTTCTTCCCACGCCAGAACACCCTCCGGGACAGAGGGTAGCACACAGGCCAGAGAGACAACAGGCAAATTGTCAGTGGGTTCAAGGCTGGGCTAGGAGAGAATCAGGGGTTCATTATTGAGGGTGAGGGGAGCTGGAGGAGAAAATCCATGTTGACTTTCCTTTTCAAAGCAGGGAGTCTTCACCAGACAGTTTGAGGTTCCAGTCTGTCCCATTCCTGGAGCAACCACAGACATCCAACCGCTGGGCAAACTGCATACATTCTGGAGTGTGACAACGCAATTATTACATGCATTGGGGCCAGCTGTCTGATGGGAAGATTTGTGCTTCAAGCCGAGTCTGGTGGAGAGGGGGGTGGTGGTGGTGACATTTTCGCACAGTTTTCTCAATCAATCTAGAAAGAGAGATCATCGTTTTAGGATAAGGGGCGACAGATTTAAAAGAGAGATGAAATTACTTCTCTCAAAAGGGTGATGAATTTGTGGAATTCACTCCCCCAGAGTGCAGCTGGGACATTGCATAAGTTTAAGGGGAGATAGATTTTTAATTAATAACGGGTAATAGAGAGTGGGCAGGAAAGTGGAGCTGGGGCCGAGATGAGATCAGCCATGATTTGTATTAATGGCCTACTTCTGTTCTTATAAAAGGAAAGGAAGATTGGCATTTCTATAGCACCTGTTATGAACTCAAGACTTTCCAAAGCACGTTACAGTCAATGAGAATTTTTTTTAAATGCAGTCACGGTTGAAATGTAGGAAATACAACAGCCAATTGACACACAGGCAGCTCTACAATGAACTACAAGATAATGATTGGGCATCCCATTTATCACAAGGTTGGGTGAGGGATAAATATTGACCAGGACGCCAAGGAGCGCTCTTCTTCAAAACTGGGGCAATGGGATCTTTTTGCGGTCACCTGTCAGGGGCAGACAGAGCTTCAATCTCCAAATGCCCCGAAACATGGCACCTCTGACCCTACAGCACTCCATCGGTGCTGCATTGGGAGTGCGGGCCTAGATTTTGGGCTGAGGTCCCTAGAATGGGGCTTGAACCCACAACCTACTGGATAGAGTGTCATATTGACCCCAACCCTCCTGGGCCCAAGGGCAAGAAAGGAACTTGTTTGCTTGGGGTGGGAGATTATTGACAATGACAGGTGGCAGCAATGTTTGAAGGTGCAAGCCTCCGATCAAAATTGCAGGGACATATCAAGCGTGCTTTGTTAATAGGTTAAAACTGTGTACAATCAAACTAACCTCGCACACCTGCACCCCCTGCCAATGCTTAGACTCTCACACCATGGCCCTAGCCCAGGTAGGTCTGTCTGTTGTGAAAATAATTGCTAAACTCTGATCGTTTTGTTATTATTAGCTCCAACTCAGCCTCGGAGATGGCTATGTCCATAGGTCTTGTGTGTACTTTATTAACCAATCACCTCCTTGGTGCCCTCTTGCTCCCTCTGATTGGATCGATTCATCTTGATCTCCGTCAGTTGGATGTATCTGAAGACATTGGTGTCTGTGAAGGGACCAGAGAGGAAAAGATCACTTTAATCACTCTCCAAAACACGACCCAGTAACTAACCCGAAGCTCAGCCCCAGCATCCTCACCAGCTGGTAGTTAAGGAGATGCAACTAATGCTGGTCTAGCCAGCAACATCCATATCCTGTGAAAGAATTTAAAAACAATGCTTTCTGAGTAATTTGGCACCTGGTGTGTATGTGGTTCTGGAAACACAAGTGATTACAGCTCACTGGCTCCAGACTGTCTCTAACATGGAGGGCTTTGCTCACTGTGTGTTGGACTGTGTTGAATTCTCCTCAATTAAAGATGGATTACCCTCATGCAGGAGGCAGCAGTAATATCATGGAGCTAAATAAAATCCAGCAGCCCAGGCAAATCTGCAACAGTTCAAATGACAGCTAGTGGAATTTAAACTCAATTCACAATCAAAATCCAATCTCATGAAAGCCATTATCATCGTCTGGCTCACTGATGTCCTTTAGGGAAGAAAATCTGCCAGCCTTACCTGGTCTGGCCTATGTGACTCCAGACCCACAGTAAAGGGGTTGACTCATTTAAAACAAAGGGCCCTCTGAAACGGTTGTAGCAAGGCACTCAGTTGTAGATATTCTCCCATCAACACACCTTCAGAGCAGCTGGGATATGAACCAAGATCTCCTGGCTCAGAGATAGGGTCACTACCACGGTGCTGCATGAGCCCTCAGATACTCAGTTGTATCAAACAGCTACGAAGTGTGTTCAAAGGCACATAGAGATGGACAATAAATGTTGGCCTGGCCTGCATTCTGTGAGTGAGTGAGTAAATAAATTAATCAATCAACAATTACATTGTTATTCTATAATTGTTAGGATGTTAACAGGACTGAGGTCGATCTGTTTTTTTATTTCTGAGAATCCATGCAAGATTATAGCACAGAAAGTGGCAATTCAGCCCATTTTGACGATGACAACTGGATAAACATCATCATATTTTGTCTCTCTCGGTCCCTCTCAGTCTCCCTCAGTCTCTCTCGGTCCCTCTCAGTCTCATTCAGTTTCTCTCGGTCGCTCTCAGTTTCTCTCAGTCTCATTCAGTCCCTCAGTCCCTCTCAGTCTCTCTCAGTTCTCCTAGTCCCTTTTATCTTTCTCAGTCTCTCTCAGTCCCTCAGTCCCTTTTATCTTTCTCAGTCTCTCTTAGTCACTGACTTGGTGTTGTCTATGTGTGAGACGACGCTGCTGGCCACCTTACCTGTGGGTTCCCGATCTTTTGCTTCTTTCAGGTACTGCAGGGCACTCTCGCAGTCTCCGAGATGATAAAAGGCAATTCCTGCTCTGTACATGGCTTTGAAATTGTCCTTGTGCTTCCCAAGAATTTTTAAGCAGTATTCCTTCACACGCTCATAGTTTACCAGCTCAGACTGGAGAAGACACGCTGGCAAAGAAAAATGGGAGTCAGATTGTGACACATCGACATTTCAAGGAGGAGGGTGGGTTGTCAGCCCAGGTCAACAACCCATCTCCATTTATATAGCACCTTCAATATGCTCAACTTTTGCTTCACAGGAACAATTTTCAAATGAAATTTGATAGCAAGCCAGATGAGGGGAAAGTTAAGTGGCTAAAGGTTTGCAAAGATGTAGGATTTAGCAAAAGGGGTTTATTAAAGGATGCATTTGAGTTTGAAAGGTTGTGGAAGGACATTCCTGTGTTTAGGAAGACATAGCTGAGGGCGTGATTCCCAATGTCAGGGCATTTTAAAATCTGGGATGATCTGGAGGCTAGAATCGAGGCAATGCAGGGAGCCTGGGGGAATGATTCAGGCTGGAGGAGGTCCCAGAGATCTCAATTTGCAGGGAATCCCCTTCAACCCAGCACGTGGAATTGTGCACTTCCATCCAGTCCACTCCCATGAATTATCATCCAGAACCACACTCTCCCCACTCGCACTTCAAGAAAGAATTTACATTTATATGGCACCTTTCCCTCAGGATGACCCATAGCACCTGACTGCCAATGAAGTAGTTGTTGTAATGTAGGGAGCACTTCGGTCAAATGCGCACAGCAAGCTCCCACAAACAACGTGGTGCTTCTGATTAGATATCCTGCTTTATTTGGCAATGATAAACATGGGATAAATTTTGGTCAGGATACATGAGAGAATTCCGTGCTTTCCTTTAATTAATGCCATGAAATCTTTTACACTTGACAATTTTCGGTTTAAAGCTTTAGCCAAAATTTAGTACTCTACAACTGTGTAGCACTCCCTCAGTACTGCAGTGGGAACATCAGCCTGGAACTGTGCTCAAATCTCTGGAGTAGGAATCAAGTCCATGACTATGTGACTCAGAGGGAGATGCTGTTCTCCTGCATGCAGTACAGCAGGTTCCACGTAGTCAGCATTCGAAACAAGGAACCAACTCCATCAAAACATTCGTATAAAGTTCCATATTTCACAAGAACATAAGGACCAGGAGCAGGAGTAGGCCATTTCGCCCCAGGAGCCTGCCCTGCCATTCAATAAGATCATGGCTGATCTTTCTCATGGACTCAACTCCAATTACCCACCCGCTCACCATATTCCTTTACTGTTCAAAAATCTATCCATCTTTGCCTTCAATGAGGTAGCCTCAACTGCTTCACTGGGCAGGGAATTCCACAGATTCACAACCCTTTGGGCGAATAAGTTCCTCCTCAGCTCAGACCTAAATCTGCTCCCCGTTATTTTGAGGCTGTGCCCCCTAGCTCTAACTCCACCCGCCCTTGGAAACAACCTCCCTGCTTCTATGTTGTCTATTCCCTTTGTTACTTCATATGTTTTTGTAAGATGTCCCCCTCATGATTGTTTTTTCCTAAGGATTTAATAGATGGTCCTCCCTCTCGTACGAAAGGTTGTTATTGACTTTGTCAGTATCTCAAATCTATTTTCTGTCACTTCCTTTACTCCACGTTAAAAGGCATAATTACCCTCTCACCATCTCCACAGCAACCCACTGTCTAATCCCGCCTTGCTCAGCCTCTGTGCTGTGTTGGCGAATCCCTCTAAAATTATTATTTTGAAAGGAATGCAAGATGCAGATTTAAAATAGAGGAGCTCCTTTTTGACAGTCCTTTCCCACAGTTAGCAAATCAATGATAGTTGATGCACCATTTTACAATCGAGACTCAAATTAAGAAAAAAATAGCAAATCTGGATTTTAAAAAAAATGCACAAAATGTCAGACATGAAAAGACTCGCATTGCCAACCCAGTTTCACTGTTTCAGTTGTTGAGTGCACAGCAGAATCCCACAAATGGCAACCGACTGAAGACCAGATCTTCTGATGTTGGTGCAGGGGTTAATAATGGCACCAGTTCCACTGGGAGAACTCGGCTGCTTTGCTCAGTTGGGACACGCATGTTCTCCCTGTGTCTGTGTGGGTTTCTTCCTACAGTCCAAAGGTAGGGTGTGAGAGTCTGTTTGGGATGCTCGTCGGAGAGTTGGCATGGACTTGTTGGGCCGAATGGCCTGTTTCCACACTGTAGGAAATTCTAATATTTGAAAAGGCTGTGTCTCTCAAGCCACACCAGGATAACCTGAGCATTAGCGATAACAAGGTATAGAGCTGGATGAACACAGCAGGCCAAGCAGCATCAGAGGAGCAGGAAAGCTGACATTTTGGGCCTAGACCCTTCTTCAGAAATCAGCATTATCTAGGCCCCAGGACCTGGGGTTATATTGGGCCTCCTGAGCTGGGGTTGGGAAGCTAGGAGCAGGGCCAGCATCGTGACCCATGATTTCTGTCCCTGACCCTGTCCTAGCTTTCAGATTTTGCCAGGCCTTCATTGAGTGGGTACAAAGAACCGTAGAATCCCTACAGGTGTGGAAGCAGGCCATTCAGCCCATCGAGTCTCTGAAGAGCATCTCATACAGACCCAACCCATCCCTGTTGACCCTGCATTTGCCATGGTCAATCCACATAACCGGCACATCTTTGGACTGTGGGAGGAAACCCGAGCACCCGGAGGAAACCCACATTGACACAGGGAGAATGTGCAAACTCCACACAGACAGTCGCCCAAGGGTGGGTGTGACCAAACCTGGGTTCCTGGCGCTGTGAGGCAGCAGTGCTAACCACTGAGCCACCGTGCCGCCCATAATATTTCTCCAAGTGGGAAGAGCTTAACTAGGGCGATTAATATAAACTAGGCACCAAAAAATCTAATCGGGAATTTGTAAACTTCTCAATCCAAGGAGCAGTGAGAATGTGGGAAATGCGGAGAAAGGACATCTGTGTTTAAGTGTTTATGCACCAGTGGAGGGAAATCTTCCTCGCTCCCACAGGGAGAGGGTGGAACAAATATCACAGACATTTAAAGGGAGACCAGCGAATTGCAAGAGCATTACATTGGTAAGTTTTGAGGGGAAGAGACTCAAGTGGAGCATAAAGACTAGTATGGACAGTTTGGACCTAGTGGTCTCTTTCTGTGTTCTGAGGAAGGGTCACTTGACCCGAAACATTAACTCTGATTTCTCTCCAGACCTGCTGAGCTTTTCCAGCAATTTCTGTTTTTGGTCACTTTCAGTGCTGGATATCCAGTGTACAATTAGTGCACAGCATGATCCCACAATCACAGACATGATGATGATGAGACTCTTTTTTTAGTTGAAAAAAGGGTCAACATTGGCTGCACTGTTGGTCAGTGCAAATATACTCCTATCACGCGTTGCTTTCTCTCCTGATCTTCCACAGCTCCCTGTGTAGTGGGCACTGCTGTAGCTTCACCCTTGTGTTGTCCTGCTCAAATCTGTTATTGTGGGTGCTTCCCGTGTTTCAAATGGGCACAGTCTGACCATGACAGTAGTGCCAGTGTGAAAGCATTGAGGCTGTACCCAGGTATCACCATTAGACAGGGTGCCCACCCTGATAGCTCCCTGGTAACATCAGTGTCATCTTCTGGTTGTCACTGACAACCCAGCTACCTGGACATGGCCCAGATTATACTGAGAAAGAAAATGCATCCAATATTTAAACTTAATCCTATTTAGCTCATTGTCCCATTGATGTGCAAACACATTAGCAATGGTGTCTATCAGGGTGGCTCTTCAATATTAATGCATTAAGGTAACACAAAAGAATTTCTTCTCCTAAAGGGTCAGGGAATTCTCTACCCCTGAGAATTGTGGAGGTTAAATCAATGAAAGTGTTTATGGTGGATAGATTTTGGAAACCTCAGAGAGATGATGGTTAGGCAGAGCTGGCATAAAAGAGGAGATGAAGCCTCGGGAAGATCAGCTGATTTGGGGGGGTGCAGTCTTGAGGAACGGAATTGCCCATTCCTACTCCCATTGTTTATGTTACAAAGTCATAGAGATGTACAGCATGGAAACAGACCCTTTGGTCCAACTCGTCCTTGCCAACCAGACATCCTAAATTAATCTAGTCCCATTTACCAGCATTTGGCCCATATCCCTCCAAACCCTTCCCGTTCATAACCGCATCCAGATACCTTTTAAAAGTTGTAATTGTACCAGCCTCCACCACTTCCTCTGGCAGCTCATTCCATACACGCACCACCCTCTGCTTAAAGATGTTGCCCCTTAGGTCCCTTTTTATTCTTACCCCTGTCACCTTAAACCTATGCCCCCTAGTTTTGGACTCCCCTACCCTGGAGAAAAGACCTTGATATTACCCTAACCTTGTCCTTCATGATTTTATAAACTCTATAAAGTCACCCCTTCACCTCTGACATTCCAGAGAAAATAACATCAGCCTATTCAGCGTCTCCCTATAGCTCAAACCCTCCAACCCTGGCAACATCCTTGTAGATCCTGAAGGTAAATTCCTTCGTTACTTTAATGGAGAAGTTATTATCTGCTTTACCATTATTTTCACATGTGGCTTAAACATCTTTTTAAATGCAAGCACATGAACTGGGAACAGGAGGAGGCTATCCAGTCCCCTGAAGTCTGCTCAACCAATTTAGAGCTATAGTGATGTAGTGGTAGAGTCCCTACCTCTGAGCTGGAAGGTCCAGGTTCAAGTCCCACCTGTTCCTGATGTGTCTGAACAGGTTGATTACAAATATTTACTGTGGCATGGTGGCTCAGTGGTTAGCACTGCTGCCTCACAGCACCAGAAACCCGAGTTCAATCCCACCCTCAGTCTGTGTGGAGTTTGCACATTCGCCCTGTATCTGTGTGGAGATCCTCCAGGTGCTTCGGTTCCCTCCCACAGTCCAAAAGATATGCAGGTTAGGGTGGATTGGCCATGCTAAATTACCCGTAGTGTTCAGGGGTGTGTAGATTATGTGGGTTATAGGGGAGGGGTCTGGGTGGGATGCTCTGAGGATCGGTGTGGATTTGTTGGGCCGAAGGGCCTGTTTCCACACTGTAGGGATTCTACAAATTTGCAAAATCATGGCTCATTTGATTGTGGCCTCAACATTTTGCTGATAATTTATGTTGTAGATGGGACAAAATGTGTGTAGATATTAT